AAACTTATTCTCTAAAAAAAAAACCTCAAATTTTTAAAAATCTTTGTAAACAAGACTGGCTTAATTGAATAAACTTTTACTTGATTGGTTACACAATTTGCTAGAAACTATAATATTTATTTATCTTTTATTTTAGGCTGATCATGTTTTTTCTTTTTATTTTAATCTTTAATTGCTCTGCAAAATAGGTCTCTGCGAAAGCGATTGCCTTCAAACTTTCGAAATTTCCCCGGAGGTATTCTATTTTCTTCTTATGCGATATCTTATTTGTCGAATATACAAGTCGAAAAACATTGAATTCCTCATCTTGGTTCATCTTAATTAATTAATCTATCCATTCAATTTTAGTGAGTTTAGGGTTTTTTTTTTTTTTTTTTTTTTTTTTTTTTTTTTTTTAATAAAATTTTATATTTATCATTAATTAACCACCACTTAAATAGGTCTTTTTATTTAATATATGTTGTAATTATTTTCTTAAAAAAATGGTAAAGTATGAATAGACACATTGAATGATGCCCTAAACATAAACTGCAATCTTATAGTTACAATTCTACATGGCATTAAATTAATATAACATGATATTAAACAAGTGAATGCATCATAGGTGGGCCCTTGAATGAAAAGAGTTAATTATATAATAACATGTCATATTGTAAGTTTACAATGCTACATGATGTTATAACTATAAAATTTTCATATTTTGAAAATTGGACAACTAAATCTTAGTCTAAAAGTTGAATGGAGGAAGTATATTTTATAATTGCAAATATTTCAATGATGTAGTATAGGCAATTTGTTTATTCTTTTAAATGGATAAAGAGGGCAAAAGATCTATTCCACGTGTAAACATATCTATAACATTTTGATCAAATTATAAAGTAGGAGTCAAAATTTTAAAACTTATTTAAGAGGTTAGGAATATCTATTCCTACAAGTAATTATTTTCTACTAAGTTAGTGGGTGATTAAGGAATAAGTATTACCACTTCTCTGCATTGTTATGTTTGGTTGGTAGTAGTAATTATTCTTCAATTAAATTTTAAAATAAGATAAATTTGAATTTTTTTTTTTAAAGTTAGGAATAATTAAGTTTCAATGTTGATAAATTTTAACTAAACTAAGGGATAAATAATAATATGTGTTCTTATTATTTTTTAAGGAATATGTATTTCTTAATTCTTTGCTAATGTAAAAAGAAAATTAGATATTAAAACGTAGTTATTCTTAGCATCCTATTGAAGTTTATCAATTTTAATTTGTTTTTATAGTTTGACAAAAAAATTAACTATTACCACAACCATGTAATTCGATTATAGGATTTTTTTTAATAATAATGAGTCTGTAATTAATTATGTAATATTTAATATCATAACCACATGATCTGACTGTAAAGTTATCTATATTCTTAACCATGTATTTAAAATTCAATCCCTGATATTGACATACCCAAAAGAACCTATGTACTATATAATATAACTAGATTTTAGGGAAAATTATATTATTTAAGATTATTGTGTTTTGATTTAATTAGTTTCTTATTTGTTTAAGATTTGATATGATCTTTAAGAGGACTAATAGGATTCTTATTTGGTTTTAGAATCTATGTGTTATTTTATATTAGAGTTAAGCGGATTATAATGCATGGATATTATCACCTCAAATTAAACACCTAATTGCTTCTTTTCCCTTTCTCATCCTTGATTCTCCATTTCTCTCAGGTTTTTTTTTTTTTTTGCCATTAAAACATAACTACTATATTAACCAGAAATATAAGGTAGCTTACAGACCATCAAAACAAAAAAACATGAGCGAAAACAGTAACACAGAAACATAAAGCTTGAAATGACACCACAAAGGAGAGCTGCTAAGTTTGCAGATGAAGAGAAGCAAGGAATTACTCCTGTTAACAACAGGTCGCACATCCTCTGGTGGTTTAATGTAGAGTGGACTTGAGAAGCAGGCCTTGTGCTTGGTCATTCAAGATTGCTTCTTTGAATTGGTGACAGAAGAACCTACTAAACAAACAACTCCTTCCACAGAATACCTCATCCAAAGATACAAAGCAAGCCATACTATCATTCTACCTACCCAAAGCGGAACCAAACTCATGCTAGCTATTATCTCTTTTGCAAACAAAGTTTTAACAAAAGAAAGAAATTAAAGCAAAAGCAGAACTGTAGAAATAATCTAGGATACCTTAGGCTTAAAGATTTCATGACCAAGGGCAGCCCCTTCCCATCCCAAAATCATAGTATCTGAATAGAATCATGGAACCCTTGTGGCCTTAGGGGGGCCACCAACCCCTTCAGACCTCAGCTTTTGTTCTCTAAAACAAAGGTGCCACTTGCTGCGATGGGCACATTGAACAGCTGAGATTCCTCAATTTGGACACCAGGACTCACCTTTTGCATTCTTCTAGCGGGCCTCCCTTTCTTTAGTGTTTTCTTTTCTCACCAGATTTTGGAAACATTACATTCCCAGTGCCAGGCAAGGGTAGCAGAGGATTCAATCTTAGAAGTTGTCTAGGTTTCAACTTCTTTGCTGTGGGACTAGTGGGGCTATTTGATCTACCACTCTTGAGTCTTAAGCCATTAAACACCTTGTCCAAGGGGATGTTCATTGTCCTTAGGTGGAGAAGGGGTAGAAGACAAGTTTGAGCTTAGGATTCTTTCTAGATGAGGATATATCAGTTAGGATATGTGGGGTGGTCTTAGGTGATACTTAACAAAAGTGTTAGGGGTATTAAAAGGCTTCTTATTCCAAGGTCCCTTCCTTTTATCCCTTAATATGAGGGCGCATAATAGGCTTTGATTACTTGAAGTGCTTTTGTAAATATTGTTAACCTTACCTGGGGTCCTGTTAGTCTCTCTTGCCTATGTAGTTCTCAGCCTTTTACCATACATAGGTTGGTTTGGATCCTTCAAAGACATGACCATCTCTTTTCCACACACAGAATCTAAGTGACCTAACCTACCACAGTTATAGCAGAAGTTTGAGAGCTTCTCATACTTTAGTTCAGCCCACTTATCCTCATGATTCTGAGAATGGGACCGTAATCCAGCAAAAGGGGCTTAAGAACTTCAATTGGAACTCTATGTCTTGAGAAACCCCTAAATAAAACATTATTAAGTATTGGGTTCTCAGCTTTGATTAAAATCTCCAGACTACTGCCTATGGTAGCAGCACTATTATAGGTCAATTCATCAACATCCAGACTGTGAACTTGTATCCAATAAGATTCTAGTGAGAAGTCAATTTCAGCCAAAGACATACCCAGATCCCATTGTTTAACGTTGAACAAAAACCCTCCAACAGACCATGGAGCATTTTCAAGAACATACATCAGGTCAGAGACAGAATGAAAAGAGATAGCATAAAGGTTTTCTTCAAGTTCATTTACCTGGAAATCCTTATGATCCACCCAAGCTTTTGCAAGCACACCATAAGCTCTATTCCAATGAACCGGACTCTCAGCAATCATCCTCCTGGCAGCAGTAAAGGACCTCTGTTCCTCAGAATGGGCATCTGTTTCCAGTCCAATTATCAAAACATGATTTGACATGTCCATTGTAGATGCAAATTCTATAAATGAGAGAAAACAACAAAAATTAGCTAGTTATTGTGGGTTTTAAGATTTGAGATTGAGAAGGAAAGAGAACAATGATATTTTTGGGTTTTTAAAAGAGGAATGACAAAAAGCTTGCAGAAATTGAAAGGATGGTTTAGGGTGTTTTTGGGGATTTTAGGGAACAAAAAAATATGGATATAGACTGGAAAGAGAAAGGATAGATGGAAAGAAGAGAGATGGCAACATGATTACCCTCCTGGAGGGGTTTCTCATCCTTCAAGAGAGAGTGTTTTTTTCCGCACTGACCAATCCATTTCTCTTGGTTCTGTTGCCCATATTTGTTCTCCATTAGCTTTAGCACACTAGGCTAAATGCAGCACCCTGATTCAGAACGAAAACTTATGGTTAGATTCAAAATTTCGAATAGTAGGAAATTAATGAAAACTGTGCATTGCATAAATGTTGTTTCAATTACTGTTTACTATATTAATATTTTTTTGACTACCTACTGTATTGAGATTTAAAGTATGAATAAGTAAGAAAGAGAGAATTAAATGATTATATGAATTCATTGACCTGAAAAAATTTCTATGAATTCGATTCTTTATCCCCCATAAAAAATAATTTAACTAAAATAACTAATTAATTGTTTGCAATTATTAACTTTACATATATTTAAATTTTAATTATTTGCAGGATCTCTACTTGATTCATATGGCTTCTTTAGCTGAAATACACGACATATTACAGAATATATGTAGACAGGACGAGGTGGTAGATATTCTGATATGGGCAAACCCTGTCTGGTCGGCATATCACTGTCATGAAATGGACTCTCCACTTCTACTTAAAACTATTTTATGCTTTGAGGATATTCCTTGGGGCCCTAATTGTTTTGCGTTTGATACAAAGAAGCTATTCAGATGGCAGTACAAAGAAGGAGAAGGCATTGTGGGCAAAGCACTTAAATATAATCGACCTTTATATGCTCCTTTCATTGAGTTGAAAGAAAATGTTTGCCCATATATTAAGAACTATTGGCAAAAAGGTTGTTCTTTTGGTGCCCTTGCAGTTAAGCTTAGCAGTGCCTACGCCAACTGTGGTGATTATGTAGTCGAGTTTTGGTTCCAAAGTAGAAATATGAAACTTGAGGCACAAAAACCATTGGTACACCATATCATAGATTACTTGAAAGATGTAACACCACGTTTTGTCACCTATGGTAATCAGGACCCTCTAGTTGAGCTACCTGAACATGACACTGCAGTTTCAGATACCATGCTCATGGCAAGCAATCCACCATCTCAATCAACTAGTGATTTTAATTTAAATCTGATTAACCAGACAGTTGGAAATGCTATGGATGGGCAATTGCCTATGCAACAGGTATCCATATTTGCCATAAATCATGTTGAACCTATTTCCTGTGCACTTTCTTTGGTATTTTTATGTAATTGTGAATATACTAAGACTGCAATATCCATCAGTTTTCTTTTGTTGATCAGCTACATTATACTGGAGTTTTAGATGCCATGCCCACACAAGGCAATCTACAAGCTCAATCAACTGATGCTTTTGGTTTTAAAGGGAAAACCATTGTAGTTAACCCAAGGGATGGGAATGTTTTGCAATGGCCTCATGAACAGGTATTGTTTATTATATGTTATTATATTGAATCCTTAAACGCTCATAAGCTAAAGCAGTGCATTGTCTTGGTATTGCTGGGGAATTGTAAATATGCCTCTAACACTATAATCCGCAACATTCAGGGTCCTCCTATTCAGCTACATGTAAGTGCAACTTCAAATACCAAGGCCTCCAGAGAGAATGTAGTGGCTCCACCATTTGGTGATTTCAATTTGAATAAAAGAATATCCTCTAGTGGGATTAATCATACAGCTGAATATCATGTCACAGATGTGCAAGTGCCTCATAAACAGGTACTTGTTACTATAAATTAATCATATTGAAACCTTAATGCCTCATGAACTGATATAGGTGCATTGCCTTTTACTAGAATCATTATGAAATTGTGATGAAAAGTGTCACAGCTCCTCGTATATATTCTTTTTCCCCTTTTACCTTTATATACAATCATGATTATGGGTTTTTAAATATATGTCTATATTCTATTGGTTTATTAACCAAATTCAAGATATGTTATTTAATTTTTTGACTTTGAATTCAATTACACCTTATCCATTGATAGGGAAACAAAAGACAAAGAATATCAAGATCTGATGTTTGGAATCATTATGAAAAGGAAGTTGTAGATGGGGAATTATTGGCCATGTGTAAATATTGTCCTTTAAGACGGATGGTTCAAGCAAAAAAGGGACATCACACCTAAGAAAACACATTGAAAATTGTCATCCAAAAATGAAAAATGGGCATCCATCATCAAATCTTCCATCTGAAAATTCAGCAAGTTGAGGTATTCTGAAGGAAAATTCTGTGTTAGATCAAGACAAGATTCACATGGATGTAGCAAAGATTTTTATTAATTACAAACTCCCACTAAATAAAATTCAGGATGATGTTTTCAAGAAACCTTTCAAAACGCTGCGGTTTGAGCTTCAATCCGAAAATGATCTTGGACTTAGCATTCTTCATGTCTATGACAAAAAGAAACAAAAACTCCTCAGATATTTTGACAAGCTTTCTTCATACTCTAATTTGACAATTAACTTGTGGGAGGATGATACTAAAGAGATTGTGAATTGTTGCTTGACAGTGCAGTTTATTGATGATAGTTGGGCATTGAAGAAGAAGATTCTTAGTTTTGAAAGATTAGAGCATGATTTTGATGCAGGATCATTGTGTAAGATTTTTAAGAGAGTGCTTTTGGACTGGAATAACAAAGAGAAAACATGCTCCTTAGCAGTCCACAGCTCCTTGCCTAATGTTGAGATAGTTCATGACGAGAAAATTTGGCCTTTTGGCATTTTCTACCTCAGTTATGATAAGTGCATTAGAGACATAAATTGTATGATTATAGATATATCTTTAGAAAGCATTTATCCAGTGTACAAGAAGATGAGTCATCAAGACAATATAGGTTATACTTTGATGAATGTGGGATGCAGTAATAATTGGAGGATTTGTAGCCTGATTTTGGCGATTGTTGCTATTCTTCACCCATCCTTGAAGCTTGACTTTGTGGAGTTTGTGTACAAGAAAATCTATGAAGATGCTATTGCAAAGGAACAATTGGACAAAATTTCTAATTTTTTTAGAAGTCTTTATGATAAATATGCTAGTAGATGCAGCAATCACACAAAATTTGCTACTGCCATTGGGGATACTTGTTCTTCATCACTGGCTAATGCTGATGATAAAATGTTGGACTCTTTTAGCAAGTATAAAGTATCCAAACAAAGTCGACGAGAACTTTATCAGTGTTTGGCAGAGGATGAAGGCTCCTAAATGAAAATTAACATTTTAAATTGGTGGTGCAACAAACAGCTCAAGATTTCCAACATTGGGGATGATGGCTCATGATTTTTTTGCCATACCTTTATCAACCACTATGTCAAGTTCTGCATTTGCCAAAGAGATTACAAAGATTATTTCAAATAGTGATGATCAAGATTCAGATATCATAAATGCAATGATATGTTGTCAGGATTGGTTGGAATCAACGAAACTCTGTAAGTACTGTTTTTTATGTGAACAAAATTTTATTGCCTCTTACAGTTAAATTGGCTTGTTTGATTTATTTGATAAATATATCTTTTTTTCTAGTTTATACTTCAAGATGAAATATGATATAAATCTCATATTTACATAATGACATAAAATAAGATGGGCTATGGTACAAAAATGAGCTTCCCAATGATACATGTATATGCCACAATTACAGAATAGAAATTTGATTATGCAACTGCTAGTTGTGTTTCATATTAAAATTTTCATTCTTGGCTTGCAGCAGCATGCGATGAACAGTTAGTGAAGGAGTGGAGAGCATGGTCAAAAATGGTTTTATCCCTTATATTTTTTGGTTAGTCAAATGTCAATTTTAATCACTAAATTTTCACTTTTGAATATTTCTAGTCTTTGAACTATTTTTTATACTCTTTTCATTCTTAAATTATGAAAATGCACATTTTTAGTTTTTCTGTTCATTAGTCCATTAAATTTGTTCATCTATATATATATTTTTAGTCTCTAAACTTATAAGTTTAGGAATTAAAAATATGTACATATTATAAGTTTATAAATTAAAAATGTACATATTTATATAGATTTAATGGATTAATTGATAGAAGGATTAAAAAAAAAACATTTTTCATAGTTTAGGAACGAAAAAACTATAAAAAATAGTTTAAGAATTAAAAATGTTCAAAATTAAAAGTTTAAGGACTGAAAATGACATTTAACAATTTTACTTTTTAGTATGCAAAGCTCTTCCATCAATTTTAGTCATATATATATATATTATTATTACTTGTATATGACATACATATGACAAATCATCATGTGAATATTGTAATGTTTTTGTCTATTTTTTTTTTGTTGCAGTACCTGCTATGGGATTTTACACACAAGGAGTTAGAGCTTTTGAGAAAATGGAAGAATCCTAAGATAACAGGGTATGCATGTGTTTTAATATCAAAATAAACTACAATAGGAGACGTACAATTTGAAACCTTATTGAGGAGTTCAACTTTTGTTTGTACAGACAACATGTTGGACTAGATGAGAAATTCAAGGTCCAAGACAATTTCTTCACTCTAGTTGATGCTATTATACAAGGAGCACCCCAAGCATATTATATTGGAGATGAGGTAAAAGGCTGTTCAAATAGCCTTACTTTTATTTATTTTCTCAGGTTTGTTTTATAATTAATTATTAATCATTTCAATGCCTGATTTAGTCAATTTAGATTAATGTAACGTTTTCTCTTTCTCTAAAAGGTCATAAACACATTCTTTCTTAAAGCACACTAGCTTGCATTCTTCGACAGCTGTAAGTATCATTCACATCTTAATTTTAAGATTACAATGTCATATAGTATTGTAAATATATCATTTTTGCATATATATAAGAATGATCATATAAAAATATGGTGTATTAATTCACACTAATTTTTCTTCTTCAGAGTTTGTCGCTTGGTGGAGGCCAACCCATTGTACCAACTTGGATCAACCCTGTGGAACAAATCAATACATGCAAGGTATTATCCTGTGTTTTTCAGTTAGCTTTTTATATATATTGCCCTAAGTTCAGTAATAAATACAACTACATATATGATCTGTTAATATTCTTGTTATTGCAGTTGTTTCTACCATTGTGTTTTTCAAATCACTGGACTCTTTTCTATGTGGACATCAAGGATCAGAAGTTTGTATGGTTGGATTCACATAAATATTTAGAAAGGCAAATGCCTAGTAATTTTGAAAGAATTCTAGAATGGTTTATAGGTTCGTTGTTGCCTGCCATGGGTCTGAACAATGCTAGGGATTGGCCCTTCTCTGATCAGCCCTTCTCTGATCCAAGAGAAATTCCTAAACAAGAAAAGTGGGTCTCCTTCATAATAAATGTTTATTATATATTACTAGTTGGTTTTTATTCCATGGATTAGTATTGTTATGATCTTATATAGTAATTATAGTGTTAATCTCTGTTTAATTTTGACATGGCAGTGGAATTGACTGCAGCATCTTTGTAATGAAGTACGCAGATTACCTTACACATGCCAATTGCATTGGTTTCCCCTTTTCTCAAGACAACATGCCTCACTTTCGGAAGTGTATATTTCTTGATATATATAATGGAAGAATATATGTATATTTCTTGATATATATAATGGAAGAATATATGTTCCTGAAAAGTTTGTAAGAAGCTAACCAATGTATTTATATATTTCCCATTTCTCTAATTAATGATCCTTTTTTCTTCTTCTAATACTTGGAATGGTCTTTTTGCTTTGTTTTGACACTAACCTGCATAGCAAAGCAGATGAGAAGATTGTGCTGCCCATCAAAGTGTTGTGTGTGTATATGTATATATATCTTTTAGTTCAAATGGTTATGTATGTTGTTAAATGTTGTTAAATGTCTATTTCATGCACTGATGCTGACGAGGTACCGTCATTGGAAGGATTTTTAGTTAGTAAGCCCTACATAAAATTTCCTATTTCTGCACTCCCTTTCTGGATCTTTCAAAACTGGTCAGACTTGGCATTGGTTGAGAAATAAGCAACCCAGGAAGGTATGGCATAAACTGTTTGGTTTCCTCATGCTATCCCTAAGCACAGCTTCATAGGTTGGCTAACCATACTTAACAGATTGACTACAAAAGCTAGACAAAAGCAATGGATCCTTACCATCTCGGGTACTTGTATCCTATGCAATAATAGCTCAAAAACTTTAGAGCACTTGTTCTTTAAGTGCAATTATGCTAACACAATATGGAGGCAGATTAGTACCATGATCAATATTCCTTTTGTGGACTCTTAGCAAGACTTGTTACATTGGATGGGGAAAAGGGTTAGAAGAAAATCTTTACTTAGTATTCTGATCAAATTCTTATGGAATGCCACAATCTACAACATTTGGATGGGAAAAAACAAAAGAGTTCATCTACAGCTCTTTAGAAGTGAGAGTACAATCCTTCATGAGATTCAATTTGAGGTTAGAGCTAGAATGCTGGAGTTTGCTCGCCCAAGATCTTCATCACTTCCTATGGCTATTGCAATTCAATGGGGACTTGAAACGGCTGTGATAAATTAGTTTTTTGGGTAATAGTAGAATGTCTACTACCTATATGTGTATTTTTCTTAGTCTCTTCTCTCTTGTAGCAACTCTTGCATGCTTTATGTTGCAAGTATTTCTGGATAAATAAATTCATCTTTTATCCAAAAAAAAAAAAAAAAACCACATAATTTTCCTTTTAACAAAAAGAAAAGTTAAAATCCATTAATTTTTTTTTTATCCAAAACACAGCCGTAGATCAACCAAATCCATTGTTTGCCCAGGGGTTTGGATTGATGGAACTCCCCACCTGCCACTAGCACACAAAGACAAACAATTCATTACATCAGGCTCCGTATCTGAAGATTCTAAACACATTTTTAGTAAAAAGTTTCATAAAACTAAGCACACTCTTATTAATAGTCAACTAAGCACTCATTAAAACTTAAATCATCAAAAAATTTGCTTTTCAAAATCACTTAAAAGTTTAAAAATGAAATACGTACTTAAAAAAGTGACAACTCCGGTATGGGTGGATCAAGGAAGGATCAACGGGAAAAGGACTTCAAAAGCTGGAATCCAATTCAGAAGACTCAATTGCACAACATGGATAAAGCAGGATTAAATTGCAAAAGACCCAAACTTAACTGAAGACAAAGCCCATTTGCATAGCAACTCAAATATGATCCAAAAACAAAGCCTAGAGTACGAAAACCAAACCCCATTCCAGTTGGTAATTACCAGAAGACTTCTATGACCCAGACAAAATCCTTAAACCTAAAGCCACGTCCTTCTAACCGGAAACCCACCAACCCGTTTCTGCCTAAAATCCGTTTCACACCCGGTTTCTCATCAGAAACCCTAAAAAGGGGTCTTGCCTATCTGTAGCTCTGCCGCCACCTTCCTTCATCTTTCCCTTCTACTTCAGCGATCCACTGCTTCAACCAAACAGCCATCCTCTACCTCATCAAAACCCAAGCCGCAGGTGAACCCACGAAAAGAAAAAAAAACTAGCTGCCACTTGGTGGAAAATGATATATGGGAGAATCTGGAGCTGACGTGGGACTTGAATGCTGATTTGGAAGCCACAGAGGATTAGTATATGTCTTTAGCATGTGTTGCCGTTTTATGTTTGTCTTGTTGTTGTTTTGGTGTAGATTAGAAGTAATTAAAGGCTGTACTGTTTCATTTGGGAATAGTCTAAGAAATTGTTATATTTTCATCCTCTACTATTCTCTATAATTCTCTTGAGGAGCTGTCTGTAAGTTTCTGGTTTCTGACCATTACATTGAGGAATATATCGGAAATCTTTCTTTCAATTTCTACTAGATTTCCCTTGTATTTTCTCTAGAGAAATTTATTGATAGCCAATCAAGCTTTCCTTATTTCTCAGCTATCTTTCATTTTATCTGTATCATTTGGTATCAGTGAAAATCCTTGGACACATTTGGTGGCCTTGGCAGATCTGACGGCATTGAAGCAGACTGGTACAGTGAGCGGATTTAAGGAGCAATTTGATCTTCTCTAAACAAGACTCACTGAAAAGCAAGCAGTCTGTTTCTTTGTTGATGGGTTGAAGGAAGACATCCAGCCATCTGTGAGGTTTTTCAAACCCCAATCCTCGTATAATGCATATTGCTTGGCTTTCCTACTAGAATCATGCTTGGAAGACGTTCAAGGAATAGCTAACACCAAAAATCCATACCCGAGCAAGAAGAAATTCTGTGAGCCGTAGATGAAATGGTGGAGGTGGTGGAAGCATCGCAGGAGAAAACCACTGCCGGAGAGCAAGATAAATTGTTGGCGGCTACGGAACTTGACCAGAATCCACCACTGGTGACTCCTATCGCTAAAGATGATTTCTTTATATCCTGTGCGATTGCTGAAGATGAGTCCGTCGAACCTGCAACTATTGACGAACACAACTTTCCTGCACACAAGCTGTTCGGTAAAATGCCAAAAAGAGCTGCAAGATACAAGCAATTGGATGAGCTTCTCAAATTTCCATTGGGTGAGTTCTCAAAGCACTTCGGTACTTTAGTCTTTGTTGTTACTGAATTGGTTACAATGAGTCAGAAGAGAAAGGTGAATGAATATTGGGAGCCCTTGGCTTTGCTATTCCCAAATCGAGGTATATCTGAGAAACAAACCCCTTAGTGGAATAATTGTGCCACAACCTTTGTTTGATGCCTACAGATCTGCATTGGCAGAACAATTAAAGTATTTAACCATTTCCTTGCATGAGGGAATATGCATTGAATTGATACTTGCCACTGCTACTGCTCTTGGGCTAGTAGGTGTATTTAATGGTTTTAATCTTGATTAATTGCCTGGAGGTATTGCTGTTGGCTGTGTTAGTTGTCCTAATACTGGTTCTTCTAATTTGAAGAATGTGCATCTTAATGTTAAGGAATGGCTTTGTACAATTCTGTGCTTGCCGGACAATCCTCATTATATTGTTGATGGTTATTTGTTCATTGCCATCAAAGTTTTCCCAAGAATTTGTTTTCGTGTGCATGCTGATATTGATCTAGCAGTACCCATGGAGGATGAACGTGTTAAAATTGATAAATTAATGGCCATCTTAGTTCTCCAATGAAACATCCTGTGCAAAGTGCTTTCTATATGGATTTTGGTGAAATTAATGGCCCTGTAGCCGCAGTTTATGATAAGAGGAGTGTTATGAGAGAATTTTCTGAAGATGCTGAATCACCACAAAATTTTGATATTGACGCTGATTCATTGAAGGTGAAATTCATATTTATATTTGATGGCTCTAGTGGTGCTGTTAAAGTTGGAAACTTCTTGGTATGCTGATTTATGGATAAGAGTTTTAGTTGGTGGCTGGAAGGGAAACCCTTTCAAATAGATGCCTTGATTTTGCTATTGGGAAAATGTCGCATGTTTTTGGAAATCCAATGTTTAGAAATCCTTTGTGAAAACAAAATTCCTGTTTTAGGGGCTTTGACTATGATAACATAATGAATGTGTTGTATTGATGATTACAAAACACATTTGAGTGACTAATTGGTTTATTTAAGTGTATAGTTAAGTTGTTAAAAGATTGCAAGTAAACTTGGACTGCACTTAAAAATGGATCAGAAAGGCTTAAGTATGTGCAGAGAGCTGGCTCTTGAAAGCTGTAGCCGGCTTTGGTGAAATGGAAGTGCAGAGAGCCAGCTTTGGAAGCTGCAGCCAGCTCTACGGGTAAAGATTTAAAGGTTCGTTGTTTGGCGCGCGCGGAGAAAAGATGCAAAGTCGGCTCTAACTTTACAGTCGGTTGTAAGGGTGCATTTAATGCACAACGGTCGACTTATTTGAAGAATAATTAATATTATTAAAGTCGGAATACCAAAGCCAGCATACCAAAGCTGACTGTGGAAGAAAATACAATGTGCAGGAAATCTGCAAAGTCGGCTGTAGAAATTTTAAGCCGACTTTATGGAAAAAGCAGAATGGAGGAATCCCGCAAAGCCGGCTGCAGAAATTGTGAGCCGGTTGTGCAGAGCCGGCTCTAGGAAGTTAAGCCGGCTCTAGGAAGTTAAGCCGGCTCTCTTGACAATCCTACAACTCGAGCTTTACGTCATGCAGAGCATTTAATGACCCCCAACAGCTAAAAACGGTTATTTTCGAGTAAGAGGCTATAAATATGATTGGTAACAGATTTGAAGAAGTTTAGAGAGCATTGTATTGAATATCTTTACCTACCAACTTGTGCTTTAACTTGAGATTTTGATCTTTGAGAGATCTTTATTTGTAATCCTCTTCTTCTTTTATTTGTGAGTAATCTTGGGGGTGTGACTATTCCTTCAAGAGTGATTTGTAGAGAGGATTGTTTGGGTTTATCTTGTAAAGGGGTGAGATTTGAGAGAAACACCCTTATTCTTGTAAAAGGATTGAGTGGTTCTTTTAAGCCACCCTTGTTGTTGTTAGTGAAGAGTGTAGAGGAAATTCTTGGTGAGTGAAGCCAATGTAGAGGATTAGGCTCCAAGTGGTTGGACCAAACCTTTAAAAATCATTGAGCAAGCTCTTCTTCTCTACTTTCTTTAATTTTGGTTTTGTGGTTGCAAAAAAAAGAGAATTTTTGGAACTCTAATTCACCCCCCTCTTGGAGTACATTGAGTTAACAGAATGGTCGAGCTTTATGGGATATGCTAAAAAATGATTGTTTTGGGACAGTGGTGCTCTTTTTGACTTCAATTGAGGTACTTGTTGAGGAATTTTTCATTGGTGAATTACATCTCAAATGGCGAATGTCTCATGGGGGTTTAGTGAGCCAAGAGCTGGTACTTTTTGCAACCAGTAAAAGGTAGAACATATATTTTAACAAGGGAGATGATAGCCGAGAAGAAATTAGAGGGAGCAGTGGTACAAACCTACTGGAATCTATGGCTATTTGGCACGTGAGGTATGAAAATGTGCAGCAAAGATTTGTTACTATGCCAACTGTGCTTTTCTCCAATTCCTTGCCTAATGGATACTACGCACAGGAAGGTGGTGGATAAAGGTGGACAATGAACAAAAACCAATGGTATAAGAACCTTAGTTGGCTTTAACCTAATATAAAATAAGTTTCTAAGAAGCAATTGGTTCCTAATTAAAACTACACAATTTAGTTAATTAAAATAGTTATTTATATAGATCAACACATTAATTTCTAGTTGGTTCCACTTTTACCGATCTTATTCATTCAATACATTCACATCGCACTATAAAATATTTAAATAGAGAAAATGGTTATTTAGATTCATCCCCCAATTGAAGTTTTTGTACGTATTTGCTAAAATCAACTAGAATTCATAATAATTCTAACAAATTAAAGGATTGACTCTTTTATTTAAATACATCCAAAATATAATAATTTATTAATTTCAAGTTTTCAACTCCTAAACTTGAACTTGAAGTACACATTTATACAGAAACAAGCAATAAATACAAGCAGTACAGTCATCCATCTATAACGTACTGCCACGTCCCGTACAGTCTTCTTTGGTAGGTGTGCAGCTGTTTTTGCATAACGACTTACAGATGGTTCTGATCTTATGCATATCTGCAAGGAAATAACGAAATTTAAAAAGAATCAATTGAGGCAAATGTAGAGACTTGAACCATGAAATCAAGACTGCTAAATAAATTGTGAAATTGAATGAACCACCACAATGAGGATAATGTGTTTCTCAATTGACACATATTCAAAAGGAACTAATTAACTGAAAGTTAATTAAAAAGAAGAATGCTTTAGCACAAAGCACAACACTAGATTTTGCGAGTTGAAGTTTCCCAATTTAAATTGGTAATACTGAAGTTTAGGATACTGGTTAACAAAGACATCCTAAAGTTACCAAGACAATATTTTTATTATTGTAATATTACAATTAAAATAGCCAAGAGAGGAAATTAGAACATGAAAACAAGAAAAAGAAAAGCCACTAAAGATTAAAGATCATGGTTAGACACGTATGCTATGCAATTCAACCAAATAATACAACAGGAAAATGCAAATATTCGAAATTCAATCTAATACTCCAAAATCCAAATTAAATTCATTACAAAATGCCCAGATTAACATAACAAAATCATCCAAAGAACAAAAAGCAGAAAGAAAAAGCTGGCAGCTTTAGTAGCCTGAATTTGATTCCAAGTCAGAATACCTTAACCATTCTAACCAATAAAGTCTCAAAACACACAAAAGCATTTGCACCAAACCCCGGAAAATGTAACATTTTTCATAAAAAACCCAGGTCTTAAAAAGGAAAAAAAAGAAAGAAAGATAAAGAACACTCACTTTTTAATCCCTTCTTCAAGAATCACCTGCTCCTCTACTGTCCACTCCATTGAGATACCAGGATCGTGCTTCATACTAAAAGCAGAACAATCGGATGCCAGATTGCCGTTGGTGGGTTTCGTTCCAGTGAAGAAAGTGGACGCCCCTTGATTCGCTTGTTCTTGACGGTTCCCAGACGAATTCGCCATTCAATTATCTTTAAATTTCAGTATCTCCACCTATCTTTGATGTAAACGAACATCCAGATTGCTCAGAGCTGCCCGTTGGTTCCTACCATAAAAGAGCAGAGGAACAAAGAAAACGATTGCTGGGGAAGATTTTATACCGAAAAAGTTTGAGATAAAGATGTGGGAGAAAGCGATGAAGTCATGAATAAGAAGGAGATTGAAGGGAGCTCCAAGATAAACAAAGGAATTGACACCGAAAGGAGAAGTAGAAAGAGATGCGTCCAGGACGGGAACCGATATCCCAGGTTGTCTTTTTTATTAGGGAACGTAAGGCGACATTAAAGTGAGAAAGAGAAAAAATAATTCACTTTTTTTTTTTTGGAAAAATATTTAACAATTCGATTAGTTATTGATTTTTTAAAGAAAGAAACATAAAAGAGATCGCAGGGTGAGTGCACTGCAAATTTTATAATGGCAAAACCATAAGTTAAGCCCCTAAACTAACCCCAAAATTGCTATTAAGCCCTTAGACTTTAACTAATGCAGTTAAGCCCTTAAACTCTGGGATCAAACCAATTAAGCCCTTCTTCTTACGTTATTAAGCCCCTAGACTTTAATTTTTAAAATAAATTGCCTAAGAAAAAGGGCTTAATTGCTTTAATCCCAGAGTTCAAGGGCTTAACTGTATCAATTAAAGTCCAGGGGCTTAATAGCGATTCTGAGGCTAGTTCAGGGCCTTAACTTATGGTTTTGCCTTTTATAATCGCCAACAGAGATGGAGATGGAAGGAGGATCACTCAAAATTAGAGGAATTTACACCCTAATAATGATAATAGATATGTATTATATTCTTTTGGGTTGAAAGTGTTTTATAATACGGATTATTAAATACGTACTTTTATTTGATCTTGATATTAGAAGGGGTCTCTAAAAACACAAATTACAAAACACTGAAGTCTTTATGAATGGATATACACTTACAAAATTAATTTAAAAATAAAATAGTATTACAAGTATGACACCCTAAATAAATCATACACCCACAGGAGAGATGTTAAATATATAAATGAACACTCCCTATTAATGTGTTTCAAAACTGTGAGATTTGAAGGGTCATAGTAGACAGCATCAATAAGGGATTGATTCATGTCCAGGAGCACAAACTGAATTATACATATTGATACCCAGCAGACCGTCATTCGTCAAAGAGCTTGCCAGCCGGGTTTGATGACTAACGGAAAACCTGATGCTCTATATGCTCTGTCCATGACTTGGTTGGATGGTTGGAAGAAATCAGTGTTATAAGTGAAAAGGATAGAGAGACATGCAGTTGCAGGCATTGCAGATTCACAAATAAGAATGGATTTCCTGTCCTAAAGGTATATGAAGCTTCATAGTCTTTTTTTCTGAACAAATATGTCCTTGATCAGGTATAGAAATGTGCATAAACAAAGAATAAAATTGTTTAACAAGTTGAATTTACAATAATAATAACATATCTCCTAAAGGATCTCTAGCTAGAATCTCTACACCACCTATTAACTACAAATTTTAGTTCTTCTCTCTGTAGATTCAATACACAAGATAAGATTTAACAAATTTTGGACCCAAATTTTATGTTATATAGATGTACAAGAATAGTAACTTACAAAAGGAAGAGACAGATCACTCTCAGTTCACAGTCCTAGCTGCACCACAAGAAAAATGTATCTTCTTTCAATCTTCTTCCCGATCTTTCCAGTGACTTCAAAATGAGAAAAAATGAAAAACTCAGACTGCATATTGTTTCAGTCAGCTAATTGCACAGATCTTCTACATGGATTTAATATGTTCATTTGCATCAGATGATAGATATCATTGCAGGAGAGAATGTAAAGTGAACCAGATGATAAATTAATTCATGATAGATTTGAATGAGTAACATAGGTGCAAATGTTGGATGAATCTTTCAACAACAAATTTCTGCTTTCTAACCCTCAATCATTAAAGATCAGAGGCAACCAAATTTTCTCATGCCATGTCCTCAGTAGGGATTCTAGGCTCCACAGAATAGCGCCGACTGCCATTTCCACCAGAATAGGCAGGAAATGGCATGGACCTACTTGGAATAAGAAGCCATAGAACTCTGCTCCTTGATTAGCTGAATCAAGAAAAAAAAAAAATAGTGAGATTTGCTAAAGGTAACTATATTCCACAGTGATGTAAGAGTTTAATGCCCTGTGCATTCTTTGGAGTTTGGACTTGCATGTGTCATGCTTTTCTTTAGAGTACACATGGGAGGAAAATGAAAATCTAGGGAGAAACCATTTTTTTACTCATAGTATTGTATGATGGAAAAGGCAACGGAATAAGAATCTAACCTTGGAAAAGTATTTTTCTGGATTTTGATTGCTGTTTGTATGCACTTTTGACACGTATCTTCAGTAGCTTATCATTGAAAATCTGCAATAAAATGGAAATTTTAAATATTGAAACCAAACTAACCTCTCCCTAATGTCAATAGATATAATAGAACCCTTAAATCCGTGCATGATTGGCTGGGACATCTCCCCACCAAATTCATGTGGGACTGGGGGGGGCATGCCCCAGCTCCCTAACTCACGTAGAATTAGTTCCACCCTAATATGCATGTCCATTCCCACCAAATTCACCCTAAATTCTCTACCAACTGGAACTATTCGGTTCCTGCTCTAGATTAAGAACAATAGTCAACATTTCTTTGATGAAATACGTTTTCTAAGTTCACTTTTTTTATAAGAGAAAGTAACAAGGCCTAGTTTTTGCCAGAAGAGCATAAGTCAAGTAATTATAAAATCAACTGACTATAATATATATATATATATATATAT